CATGCTCCAGGGCTCCCTGTGGGATCAGACTGCGCTTCAGTGGAGTCCACCCCTTTATCTGGATTCTGCCACACTGGTCTCTCATCTGTACGGTTTTGCCTGAGATCACTGCTCACCAAATTAATTACATAAGAATTGCTGTCAAAGTTTCTGCTTTTGGAGTATATATTGTAATGCAATTTCAGTGCATATGCAAGATTGAGGATCTGTATGTCTTGTTCACACTCAAAATTTTTGCAAAAGCATAAACATCGGGTTTGATTGTTGTCTCAGATTCTTTTCTCTTCGGTGACTGATTTTAAGACTTTATCATCATTGCCATTTGTATAAACAGATGAAATTTCTTGTACTAGTTTTTTTGTGGCTGTAGGATTTCTCTTCCCTGCTGAAATAGCTTAGCTAACTAGAGATTGTTGTTTTTTCTTCTGCATTGATTCAGAGGACAGTTAGTGAATTTTTAGTGATTTTCTAAAGATGTCTGTGATATGCTCTGCCCAAAACAGGGGCTACATGAAGCTGCTGCTTTGTAACTTTCTACCCTAATGCACCAGTCTCTCCTTGCTATTATCTTCATCCCGTCCTTTCAAATGCAATGCAAGTCAGCTACAGGAACAGTAATAGAAATAATAGTGTCATTTCCCTCCAGAAAACTGAGTTGCAAACACCACTAATCGTCCCCTCAACTATTAAGAAGTTTGTGCATGTTATATATTCTACATAACACTATCAATCATCTTTCTGAGGGGTAACCAAAGAACTAATAATTTAATTCATTGATTTATTTTTGAAAGTACATTGAGTGCTCTCATATTCTGGGTACTGCTCTAAGCTCAGGGAAATATAAGTGATAGCCAGACAGATGATTGCTTTGATGGAATTTGTCTTCCAGTATCTTCACTGCAGGAAAAGAAGGGAGTATGGTCTAGCATTGACTTAGTATACTGAACATTTTTTTAAAGAAATAATATTTTGATAACTAAGTCAAGGAGAGTAGTCACCAATTTACCTCAAATATTGTAAACCTCCTCCATTAACATCTCACAAGCAATTGAGAGAGGAAGATCTATAGGAAAGAGAAAGTACTAGAGCAAAACAGAAGTAATAATATTGAGAGTAGAAATTATTTGTTTGACTTTAAGATCCATTTTCTTGAATGCAACATTAATTCTACATGATTAATGAAGTGTGCTAGAGAAGAAAAAAATAGTATCTGGCAATATTGCTTCTTGTCATTCATTTTAACAATTTAATAAAAAAAATTTCTATCACTTTTAATAGATTCATTATATCCATTTGCAGTCTATTATTCCTTCATCCCTTAGTCCCATGATACTGTTGACCTCTTATTTGACCATACAGATTAATTTGCATTTTCTAGAGTTTTAGCGTATGGGCTTCTGAAACAATGGCTGCCTCTTCTAGATTTTTATAAATGAGAGGCATATTGAAAAGCATGTTTCCTTTTGTCTCACATCTTTCAATCAATAATATTTTGAGCATCACTCATGTCAGTGTATTATTAAATTATTTCTTCTTATTGCTGATAATATCCAATTATATAGATATGCCAATGTTGTAGCCATTCAATGTTAGTGGACTTTGAGGTAGTTTCACGTTTGGACCTTTTCTGAATAAAGTTGCTGTTTCTAAATACTCAGTAGTCTGTGAATGCATATTTTTTTTACTTGTCCCATATTGGGTTGCATTGTAGGTATATGTTGACATTTTTAAGAAACTGCATGGTTTTGCAAAATGTATTGTTCTATATTCCTTTGAGTGATGCTGAGAATGCTACTCCTTCCAAAATCTTGCTTACATTTTGATAAGGTTATTTTTGAAATATCTTTTATTAAATTAATATAGCATGGTAATATTTTATGTTTCAGTTACACATCATCATAAAACAACATATGTATATACAATTGTAGTGAAGCAATCAGGCACAGGGCAGGTAGGTGACCGTGGAGCCAGGAGGCTGGCAGGCCTCCCAGCCCCAATTGAATCTTGACACTCTCTCTCGCTTTGGACTCTTTCGGGCATTCTTTCATGGTCCTGCCCCTCTTAGTTACTTGCCCTCTGGTAGTCATTCTCCACTGCTGTCTTGCCACACCATCTCTGAGTAATGCCACCTTTATATTTCTGATCTCCTAGGCACAGTTGTGCCCACTGATGCATGCACACACCATATGCCAAGTGTCCACCAGCAGGCACACATACCTGTTCCCACACTGCCCAGCAACTCCTGCATTCAAGTCTGCAGGAATAGCCACAGAGGTCAGCAGTCTGATCATTACACTTACCTTACAACAACTAAAAGTCCAATTCTAACATCTACTGTACAATTGACCCCTTTTACTCAGGTGACCCTCCTTCTTTTTCCCCTTGTTTTATTTAGTTAAATCATTTGCTTATTTTACTTTGTCATATATAAATAAAGTCAGAAGATGTTTGACTTTGACATTGGCTTATTTCATTAATCACAATGCCCTATATGTCTTTTCATTTGTTGTAAATGGCAAGATTCCATTTTTTATAGGTGAATAGTATTCCATTATGTACATACACCATGTTTCCTTTATCCAGTAATTTGTTGATGAGCACTTAGGTGTTCCCAGATGTTGGATATTGAAAATAGCATAGCACTATTTATAATAGCTAAAATATGGAAAGAACCCAAAAGTCCCCAATAAACAAAAGTATCAAAATGTTATGGTATATTTATAAAATGGATAATTATGCAATTATCAAAAAAGACAAACTCATGCCATTTGAGGCAACATAGATGGAGCTGGAACAGATTATACTGGGTGAAATAATTTAGAAGGAAAAGATAAATACTGGATGGTCTAACTGATATGTGGAATTCAGACAAACCAAACAAATGTCAAGAAAAAGTCAAAACTCACAAGCTGACTACAATTCTGAGGCATGGAAAAAGGAACAGGGAATGAAGAGGATCAAAACAGGGGAGGGAAGAACAAAAGGGAATTTGATGATGGTTCATTGGTGATATAGTGGCGGGGAGAACCATGGGGAGCACACTGATGTAAGAAAAAAAATTAAAAAAAAAAAGAAAATAGCTCTACAATAAACATGAAGTGCTTATATCTTTTTGAATTGTTTTTGACTTCAGGTAAATACCCAGAAATGGAATAACTGGATCATATGGAATTTCTACTCAGTTTTTTTTTTTGACAAGTGTTCATACTACTTTCCATAATGTCTGTACCAATTTTCACTCCCACAAACAGTTTACAAAGACTCTGTCATCACCACACCCTCTCAACACTTCTTTCTTGTCTTAGGATAATAATCTTTTTCACAGGTGTGAGGTGATATCTTGCTATTTATTGTTTTGAGTTGCATTTCCCTAGTAAGAAGAGATGGTGAACATCTTTTTACATTCCTGGTTGGCTTCAAGAAGACATACAGATCCTCTGCCCACTTTTTTTTTTTAATGATTTATTTATTTATACAAGAACTGGGGTACAGTCAGAGGTGCGGGAGGGTGAGAGAATTCACCAGAGACAGAGCGGGAAGCAGAACAGGCAGGCGGACCGAAGACACTGCTGAGGGGAGCAGCAGGTGAGGCAGGAGAGGTCTGCCGTGCCATGTGGGAATCTCCCTGGGCAGCCGGGAATCATACCTGTGCTGCAGAAGCCACGGACAGCTTCACAGCATGGCGTTCAACCCGCTGTGCCACACTCCTCTGCCCACTTTTTAACCAGGTTCCTTGCCTTTTTTTTTTTTGCTGTTGAGCTTTTCAATTCTTTAAATATTGTTGGTATTAACTCACTCCCCTATTCTACAGGTATTAGCACACAATGTCCACATTCTCCTAATTCCTTACAATGCTTCTAAATCATTTGCTTGCATCTTTATTACCAAACTATTCACTCATTGACATCACTATTATGCAGCTATAAAATAATGTTCTACTGTCTTCAGAGTCCTTTAGACCACCCACTTTCTTCTCATTTTCTTTGTCACCAATCTCTTGACCCTTTCACCTCTATTAATCCTGAGTCCTACAACAGTCCTACAACAGGGTAATATCACTCACTACGAGAATCTAACACTAGACACAGTGTGATCTCAAACTGCCTATATTACACTACAGCATCCACTCTCTCCACAACCCATACAATTATTTTAATCAAATTATTCCATATAGACCACATTATACTTTGTGGATTTCATAAATTACAAAATATGCATCTTTGTGCTGTAACCAGACTTAAATAACATTTGAGTTTCCAAGGACTTCAACAAGGTATTATGAAACATCTACCTACCTCTTTGTTGAAGGGATGGGAAAAATAGCTCTAAGAGAGAATTTTCTATAACATTCCTGGATTACGATACATCATTAAAAATGTTTACTTCTTTGTAGTCACAATTGTAAATTTATTTTTTCAGGAAATCATCCATTCCAACCTATTTTTCATATTTCTTTGAAACAGAGTTGAACAAAGTGTTTTTTCAAAATTCTTAGAAATTTATTTCAATTCTAAATTTGTTCTTGTACATTCTCCTCTTTTAAACAAATAAATTAGTGATCTTTCTCTATCCTATCCTTCTCTCTCTCTTGATCTGTCAGCATCTTTCTTTCTTCTTTCCCTTTCGTAGGAAAGAAGATAATTTTCTTTCTTCCCCAAGGGAAACCAAAATCATGAAAACTAAGTGCTCCAAAAAATTTTTGATATGTTGGAAAACATGCATTTGTGCACACACATGCAAATGTGTGGGTATGTGCATGCTGTGTATGTATATGTGTGTGAAAACATTTTTAAATATTTAAAACTACAGCTGCTTTTGTAGTAAAAATGGTATGAGACTAGGTCATGTGAGGCCATTAGAAAACACTTTGTTTTACAAATAATGTTAGCAATTTTATTGAAAGTTCTCCACTGCTATCTATAAATGTGCAATACATTTTTAAAAGTTCAGTTTCTTTTATTAATTGTCTGAGTGAAAAAAATATTTGCTTTGTCCACTACCTTCTTCAGGGCAGTCTGCATTTCTCTGTTCCTGAGACTATACACGATGGGGTTAAGCAAAGGTGTCACTACTGTGTATGTCACAGCCATCAGCATATCTTCACGGAATGAACTACTGTCCTTAGGTTTCAAATACGCAGAGCCAGCAAAACCATAATGTATGGACACTACAATGAGGTGTGAGGAGCAAGTGGAGAAGGCCTTATACCTCCCCTTTGCAGAAGACATCTTCATAACAACAGATCCAATGAACACATAGGAAATCATAATTAAAATAAAAGTACCTACTAACACAAAGGCAGAGAGTAGAAAAATAATCATTTCATGATAAGAATTAGAATCACAAGCAAGGGAGACCACAGGAGCGATATCACAGAAGAAGTGCTGGATGATATTAGAGCCACAGAAAGACAAGTCGAATACAGTCATGGTGATGCACAGAGAAACCAGGAACCCGACCATCCAAGAGGCTACCATGAGCTGGCAGCAGATCTTGGCTGTCATCCGGGTGGTGTAGTGCAGTGGGCTGTGAATGGCGGTGTAACGGTCATAGGACATGGCTGCCATGGTAAAGCAGTTGTTGCCAGAAAAGGCAAAGAAGAAAAACATCTGCGTGGCGCACTCAGGAAGAGAAATGGTCTTGCTGTCTGACAGCAGGTCCACCAGCTCGCGGGGGATGATTACCATGGTGGAGCATGTCTCTGAAAAGGACAGGCCACAGAGGAAAAAGTACATGGGTGTGTGAAGATTGTGGCTGAGCTTGATGGCCACCATGATGGACACATTGGCAAACAGGATGATTATATGGGAGAATAAAATGACCACAAACAGGAGGACTTGCAGGTCTGGGAAACTGGAAAAGCCCCACAGAAGAAATGTGCTGACTGAGGTTTGATTGCTCATCTTCTGCTGTGAGCAACGTTCTCTCAAAGGTGCAGAGGTTTGTGAGGTTAAGACTCTGAGGTTGCAGGAAGATCCATGTGCTCTGGAGTCATCAGTCTGTATCCACGCACCTGCCCAAGCTTAAGACAACTCTTCATGGAAGAGCCTGAGAAAGGGACACTAAAGGTACCTGACTAAAGTCTTGTTCAGACATCAGTCATGATATTGATTGTAGTAAGAGATTAGTGTAAATGACATATTGACTGGGCCTAACTATCTCCTTGGATTTTATACCTAAAAGGTCTCTTTATTTGTCTCTTTTCTAATCAGGACCTGCATGTAAGAGGGAAATAGAAATAAGATTATTTTTACCCAGTGGAACTTTGCTATTTTTACCCAGTGGATCTCTGGCATTTCACATTAAAAAAATTTGTGTGTGTGTGTGTGTGTGTGGGTGTGTGATCTAACAATAACTAGCATGTAAGAGTGCTTAGAAAAATTTGGTTGAATGAATAAAATAAATAATAAATAAAATAAGATAGTTTGACCATTTGTAAATAATTTAAAATTATTGTAGCACTTTAAATAAATTAGGTAGATCAGTGATATTTTCCAAAAAGAACTTTTTTCAAAATATCACACATATAACTACCTTATTATCTTGCATTTCCATTTCTGGTTATTGATCTAAAAAAGAAATACAATCTAGAAAGATTTCTACCTGTCATCCTCATTGCAACATTGTTTACAATAGTCAAGAAAGAAAATGCATACATTGTGAAAAATGAAAATGATGTAAAAATACCATAAATTAAAAAAATAATAAAAAATTGAAAAAATAAAATAAAAAAAAGAAAGGAGCAACTGCAGTGTCCATCAAAGGATGAATGGATAAAGTGTGTACATACATATAAAATGCACTACAGGGCTTCCCCAGTGGCGCAGCGGTTGAGCGCGGGGTTGCGAAGCTGCCCGCAGCCTCTGCAGTGCCGGTTCAATCCCCGGCTGCTCCCCGGCCACCAGAGGAGGGTCCCACATGGCACGCAGACCTCTCCTGCCGCCCGCTCCTCCCCTCAGCAGTGTACTTCGGTCCCTCTGCCTGTTCTGCATCCTGCTCTGACTCTGGTGAATTCTCTCACCCTCCCGCGCTTCTGACTGTACCCAGTGCTTATATGAATAAATAAATAAATAAATAAATCTTAAAAAAAAAAAAAAACATTTAAAAAAAAATAAAAATAAAATGCACTACAAAAATCAGTCATACAAAAATCAGGAATTTGTGCCATCTAAAATATTCATGAACATGAAGCATTATACTATGTGAGCTAAGTCAGACAGAGAAGGACAATCACTGCATGAGCTCACTTATACGTGGAATCTAAAAACAATGAAGTTTATAGATACAGAAAACAGAAGATCGGAAAAATTGGTGAAAGAGTCACAAGTTACAAAATTCAAGTTATAAAAGAAATCTTGGAAAAGTAAAGTGCAGCATTATGACTGCAGTTAATAACAGTGTTGTGGGCCTCCCTGGTGGTGCAACGGGTTAAGTACAGCACTATCAAGTTTTCCACAGCCTCTGCAACATGAGCACAAGTTCAATCCTTGGCCAGCCGGGAGGTGACCACGTGGCGTAGCAGACCTCTCCTGTCTCACCTGCTGCTCCCCTCAGCAGTGTATTTTCAGTCAGTCTGCCTGTTCTATTCCCCGCTCTGTCTCTGGTGAATCCCCACAACCCTGGCCTGTACCCCAGCTCTCGTATGCATAAATAAATCTTTTTTTTTTTTTAAAAAAATAATACAGTGTTGTATATTTTAAAGTTGATAGATAGTAGATCACAAAAAATCTATATAACTATATTGGTGACAGAATGAACTAGGCACCTGTGGTGATCATTGCACAATATACACAAATATTGAATCATCATTATGTTGTACACCTGGAAATAATGTCACGTTATATGTCAGTTATACCTCAATGGAAAATCAATAAGTTAAAAGTTAGGATGATGAAATTGTTATATAAATGGTCTAAAGAAGTCTTCTATGTAATGACCCCTTTGCTACTTTTTCACAGAGGGCTAGGATCATGAGTTAACAGCTCACTCAGGCCACCTATGGATAAGCCAAACCCTGGACTAAAACATTCCAAGATGCTATTGTCCTTTTGAGGACAGACTTTTGACTCATAGTCTCCACAGTTACTTATGCAACTTCATGGAGATATTTAAGCCTCCTCTCTTTTCTCTCTCTTTCCTGTGAATGCCTTTGCTCTCTTCCTCTTCCAGTGGCCAGTCCACAGCTCTGTCCCTGAAAGGTCTCCTGCTATGAGGACTTCCTCTGATAAAACGGTCAAGTACCACCAAAATATAACTTGGTATGTGCTATTGTCAAAACAAACAAACAAAACTTTACTTTTCTTGCAATGAATGTAATTCTATTTTCATCAGTCCACCACTAGTGGCTTTCAAGGTGATAACTGTGACAATGCTAGACCACACGAGTAAATTAACATCTCTGATTGGGTTCCAACCATGGTAATAAAGTTTCAGATATACAGTGTCATTGGATCTTAAAACATCAGTGTTGTATGTTCTTAAGAACTTCTCACTGAACTATTCCAGATTTTTTTTTTAAAGATTTATTTATTTATTTGTTTGTTTGTTTATTTATACAAGCACTGGGTACAGTCAGAAGCATGGGAGGGTGAGAGAATTTACCAGAGCCAGAGTGGGGAGCAGAGCAGGCAGAAGGACCGAAGCACACTGCTGAGAGGAGCAGCGGGCACTGCAGGAGAGGTCTGCGCGCCATGTGGGACCCTCCTCCGGTAGCCAGGGGGCAGCCGGGGATCGAACTGGCACTGCAGAGGCTGTGGGCAGCTTTGCAATCCAGCGTTCAACCGCTGTGCCACCGGGGAGGCCCTATTCCAGATTTTTAACACAGTTGACTAGCTTGGAGTCAACATGATTTTGAAGCTACAATCTCATTCTCAAATGACATATTCTAGTCATTATGGATTAAACAATTTTTCATTTTTAGCAGACTCTCCAGGATATTTTCTAGGAGGTATACTTTGTTATTTGCTATGAAGTACAAACTGAATCAGATCAATGCACATACTTCAGATCAATCATATTTCTATTTTAATTGTTCATTAAACACCAAATCTATAGGCGACAAGGACAGAAAAGTGATATAATACTTTGCATAGAATTTTGATTTTACCTTCTGTCACCTTATCTCCACAAGGGACCTTCAGTCATCACACCTTCAGACAGAAAAATAGTAAGAAATTAGTGGGGGATAGTGAAGGAGTGTCTAAGAGAAGAAAGGAAACCCTGACCAGAAAATATTTTATAGAATTCACAGAGATTAAAACCAAAAAGGAGACAAGAAAACAAAACAAAAATATTGCTTTCCTGTTTTTCTGTTTGTATTGTAGTTATGGGCCAAGAAGACAAGATGAAATAGGTCAGGAACCAGCATCTGCTTATCACCTATAATGTCCCAGACACAGGTTGGGGTAGACAGAGCTGTTTCACGCCAGGTGGTAGAAGTTTTCATTCTGATTTTACAAATGATGGAACCAAGGTACAGTGTGGAGAAGTGAATGTCAAAACCATGAATTAATTGACTAAAAGAGTAGGACATGCCAGCTACGGAAAGACCACATGGGCCAGACACCTGGGACCTCTGTGATGTAAGGGAATGACTATTTTTGTTCATGAAATTGGGAAAACTCTTTCTGGGGAAGTGACATACTTAATGGAGAATAGAATGGCAGAGAAAACCAATAGGTAAGGATGAGGGGAGAGAGCATTGCAGGCACAGTTCACAGTTATTATCCAGACCCTGAGGTGGGGACTCATCTACCAGAGCCATCTTCAGCCAAGACCATCATTGCTTAATTTCTACCCCTCCACACTACTTTCCTCTGAAACTTACCCCTTCTATTCATCTCTAAAGGGATCAATTTTCTATTCTCCTTACAGTTTTATGGGTTCCATCTATATTAGGAGTATGGAATGCCAATATTATTAATTTCTAGATAACCTGTGCTTATATGTCCTTTAGTATTTTATAGTGGTCTGTTAACAGCAACAGGTATTTGGTCACTAGAACATATAGAATAATATTCATTGGAATGAGAAGAAAACAGAAATCCCCACCTTCTACAGAAAGAAAACATTCTAGTCTCTTAAATTTATGAAGTATTATGCTGGAAGAAGAATTTACAATTCTTACAGTTCAGGTTTGACTTTCCACCTTTCTTCCTTTAATTTCAGGTATCTCAGAAATCACTAATAAATTTTAGGCAATTTTCCTTTGAATATTTGTTATGAGTCCCCTTTGCTATTATTCTCCTATAACATCAAAGGCAATATCTTCTCCATTTTTCACAGAGGGAGCTCAGGACCATGAAGATTTTAATGAGTCTTCATCCTGCATGAGATCATTATCTTGAGATTGCCGCATAGATAACAGGAGGCTTGTGCTTTGTGGACTATCACCCAATGTGGTATCCGAAGGTTTTTAAAAGCTGATATGCCATAGGGACTTTTTAATGATGTTTGTACTTACTCTTCTGAATAGCAATTGAAATGCTCAAACTCAACTTGTTAAAAATACATTGTAGGATGTAGACATTTCCTCAGAGATATTTTCCTTTCTATATACTTTTTTACAATTCTGAAAATGTGCCAATCTCCCAGGTCTCCTCAGCCCTACACAGTAGGCAAGGGAACAGGTGTTACCAGAAGGTATCACCTGGGGAAATATCAGAAGAGGATGAGCAGAAAGAGACTAACACAGTATGAGCACGAGGATTTCTTTCTCACAGGCAACTCTATGTAGATCTTGCTACAAAAGAAAAGTGCCTTTCATCATCCCTCTAGTTCCTTCACTGCTATTGTGATGTTTACATGTGATTCCTAATTACCTCTCTTTTCAGCTTGGCTTCAATATCTTTCACCATCTGTACTATCTATTATCTAATGTGCCATGAAGTCTAATGTCCAATAT